AATCGCAGTTTTTTTTAAATAGAATAAGAGTGACGAACGAGCACACAGTCCACCTGATGGTAAGTGGATGCTGTGGCCCATAAATATCTACATCTACCCTCGGTTAATAATCAAAATGCACATGCTTTGCCACTCCTGAGGATTAAGATGGAATGGTAAAAATGGTCTCCGGTTTTCTACACTCACCGTACGAAACACATCAGGAACGAGCTGCTATTTTACGCTCGTATTGCATGAGAGCGTGGCCCTTCCACTGTCGAACCGACCTATTTATGCTACAACCGTAATAGGCTTCTTACTTTCAAGTTGTATATATCACATCAGATCAAATTAATTTTAAACATTAAATATGAGCTGACACCATATGCTCAGTGTTAATTTACTCGCATTTAAGTTAACTGGCATTTGTTGTAATGTAAAGCTGGATTTTTTTTGACAAACATTGATTATTTGAGAGGAAACTAAAGAAATGATTAACAAATATGATGCATAGGTACGTATCCGTATGTATTATGTTTGTAAATATTTTAACTAGTCATAAAACTAAATGAAACTTAGCTGTAAAACAAAAAGTCAGTGACAAACCTGCAACAGTAGGCATTTAAGTCTCGCGCGGCGCAGGATTCATCCTACTATTCTTTTTTTAATATGGAATAGGCTTTTGTTACGCTAAGACAGTGCGATTTAATATTTGGACCTTCATCACCAGTTACCATCGGCTTGTAATAACTTTAAAAAAAATTTTGTTTCAGTTGCAGCAATGGTAACCACAGTAGCTCCTTGGAGAACTTTAAGTCAAACTGCATAAGTGGTGCAGGTAAGAAATATTTAGTGATAGATAAAGTCGGGGTGATTGATAATGAAACTTTATTAACAAAATCACAGGCGATACAATGCGGAAATCCATATATATGTTAAAAGTTAATTAGCTGAGATACGCGTAGTAAAAAAATACGTGTGGCACTCGGTGACTGCCGCGGTAAAGCTATTGCATAGCATTTTTTATCAACTTATGCAATTATAATTATTTATTTATTTTATTTATGCAGTTAAGTCTTTGATATTAAATCAAGTTACACTTTTTGAGCGTGGTGACCGATAAGAAAACAATTTTTTTCTCTTATTGAATAAATGAGAAGTTAATATTGTTTAAAATATATTTAATATCTTACAATACATGTAGGTTATTCAGGAATTTTTATCATTGAGTTAGCAGCTAGTGTACACGCACACAAACACCGTGCCGAAGTCTGCCGAGTGCCGAAGTCTGCCGAACTAAAACGACATTAGACGATGCACGGCTTTCAACGCCACACCTCCGTGCCCGTCGGAGTGGGGAGCGTGAAGTTTTTTTTCGTTACGGAATTTCTGGATTCGGTCCCCACGCTCAAGGCCCGCGATAGAAGCTATGCAATAGCTTAAAAAATGATGTGTCTTACCTAGTTTAAAGAGTCTCAACCTACCGTGATTGCGTGCACTATTCCCGTCACTACTAATCCCAGCACCACTACACCCACCACCACTACATTAGGAAAGATATACCACCGTCAATATTACGGCACGTGTTTCGCCTCTTCACGAGGTATCACACAGTTAAAACACATCCATTAAATTAAATGATGTTAAAAATTAATTTCCGCAAATTAATCTCTTTGTAATAATCTCTACAAAATTAAAATACTTTACAGTGAATCAATTACATATGCATTATTTTGTTATTATAACGTAATTAAAAAAAAATATAATTTTCATTAATTGTATAATTCTAGGCACAGGCCTACTCAACATTTTCTCCAGCGACGTGCTACAACTGTGTATGATTTAGTTGTAGCATGTCTCTACCGCGTAATAAATATAATAAGAATAATAAATATTGTAATACTCAAAGAGGGTGGTTAAGTTGTCATATTATAAATTAACACAAAATATATAATACTTAACTCACAATAAATATTTTTAATTGAATTTGATTTTTTTAAATATATTCAAGGGCTGCTGTCAAAATTCCAAATAATTAATTTTCAAAATGCCTGATTTTTATTATTTTATTTTCAGATCCACCTGTGTACGTTTTAGCAGCTCCCCAACCGATTTACTTAGTGACTTGCGATCACGCAAAAAATTGAACTTTTATGGGCCTAGTAAAAACTAAGGTGTTTTTTTCATAAAATGTTTTGTATAAAAGTTTAAAAATATATTTAATGAAATACATAAGGTCTTTTATTACTTCATATCTGGCTGTGTAGTGGTGATGTAATAGAACCCAATACTCGAAGTCATCTCGTAGCAGAAGGAAACCGAAACAGGAGATTGGCTGCAGCATCTTCCTGATAGAAACACATTGTTATTCGGATGACAGTACTGGCGATGTTGCAAACACCGACCCTGCTAATATTTCTCGCGAACACGTCGTTTTGAGAGTGGTCTGAGGAATTGTTCGAACTACTTTCAGACAGCCAAATTGCATGCAATTGCGACAAATACTCGTGATACTATCCATACCATCTGCATGATAGGGGGTCCACGACTGTGCAATTTACCAGAAGTTTTTCTTTCTCGCACAACTTCTTTATAGAAGCTGTTAACATCTGCGAATTTGCCTACCGGACTGATACGACTAAGGGTACTTCAAGAAAAGTCCCTATTAAAAGTCAATTTCCCTGGTGTCGCAGTTGTTCATGGGCGGTGGTAGTCACTTAACGTCTGTTGAGCTCCATGCTCATTTATTTATTTATTTACACTTTATTGTACTAAAGGTACAAACGGCGGACTTAATGCCATATGGCATTTTCCACCAGCCAACCGGAAAATTAGTGGGAGATGTGTGTACTGCAGTGGGCTAGGATGAAAACTAAAATTAATAAATTGCACATATACATACACCGCCCACACCCCCCCCCCCCACACACACACATACTCGTAGCTCAAAGTTAATTAAATATTTATAAGGATCTAATAGATTAAATGTTATAGATTATTTATATATTTATCCCCTCTTAAATATAAAAAGGGCACTTAATGTAATAAAAACAATGTAGTTGCCAACCTACCTGCTAAGCGTGGCAATTATGGCAAAAATCCCTTCTATGATGCAATGTATAGGGGAAGCCTATGTTCAACAGTGGACTTTTATAGGTTGTCACAATGATGATGATGATGATAATTACTTCCTGTCTGTACTTTATCGACATGCCATGTGGTGGCGGCGTAAGAGGACACATTTCACCGTTTCTTCCCGTGTGTGTCTTAAGAGACATATATTGAAAATACCATAATTTAGACGGAGCCTTTACGTCAGAGTAAAATCCAAAAAGGCGACGGGGAGACGTCTGCTATTACGATCTCCTAGCCCCATACCGATTTCTAACTCTATACAGATTACCCTGAAAATACGTGGTCGTAAATTTTCGATAACTATGAATATATTATAATAGATGATTTCTTTATCGTCTGTAAAAAAATAGGATGTACTAGGTGAACGTAGTAGAAGCCTATGGCACTAATATTTCACATTTTTTTTATTTTACATTAACATATTATTTATTGATCTATCAATAAATAATAATAATAATAAATGTTCATAATTAACTAAAATTTTTACAATGATCTTGCAACATGGTTAGAATCTTCTTTTAAGTGTAAAAACACCTATGCCATACTACTTATTGGGTTTACTTTTATAGGAGAGGGGGCAACGGCTCACCTGAGGGTAAGTGATTACCGCCGCCCATAAAAACTGTAACACCAGGGAAATTGCAGATGCGTTGGCGGCCTTTTAAAAGGTGTAGGCTCTTTTCTTGAAGGTCCCTAAGTCGTATCGGTCCCGAAAAATCTCAGGTGGTAGTCGACTCCACAAGGAAGTTGTGTGAAAAAGAAAACTTCTTTTAAATCGCACAGTGGTAGAATGCCAGTCATTCAGATGGATGGATCAAATCTAATTTAATGGCGGAGTCGATCTTGAACATGTTTACACTGCCACTGCCTTCACAGACTGACTTGACTGTCGCTAAAATTTGTAATTGTGAATTTTCAATAATTGTGAAAATACTGTAAGATTTAAAACGTAAAGCGGGCTGTACGTGTTTCAAGGCAGTACTTCCTCCTATTGATCACGGAAATGAAAATAAGCAATCCGCGATTACTAATTTTTCCTAAATGAGGTCTATGTCCAGCACTTGACTGTTATGGGCTATTAAAGACAAATAAGATGAAGGAACGGATAATAAGTATTAAAAATAAGGAACCCTTTATATATTCCACTGAGTGAGTTACTACTCAATAAAACTTAAAAATCAATAGTGCATGATGAGTTTTCTTATATTATATTTTTTTATAAAACTGACGTGACAAATGAAATTACCATCCATCTAATGATACGTGGCTTCCGTGGGAACCTACAACCAAATTCAAACGAAGAAGGATAAAGATGTGTTGTTACCTCTGAGGACTTGATGCCTCGTAGTCTCTATTTATACTGGCTTTCATTACCCTGCAAGCCGTAACGCTTCAATGCAATCACTACTGTTTGCGGAAAAATATATAAGAGTATGGTATCTATTGAGAAAGACCCCTAATTGTTTCCCTGAGCTTTTGTAATTTTTTAATCCTAATTAAAAATTATTTTGATTTTATTGCCTTTAATTCTTCTATACGCTGTGACTTAGCACAAATTTCTATTATTATTTGCTTAATTATTTTCCTTTGATACACCTATAAGTTACTTTCATTTTTTAAATCTTTAACCACAAACTGATAAGAATTTCTAGCGCCTGTAACACATACATAATTCTGTGAGCTGTGGTACCGTCTAAAAAGACCTTCATCTACTCCATAGAAGTAAAAATAAATAATAACCGACTATGACAGTTGTCTGACAATGACAATTGACAATGCGGCACGCCATATTGTTTACAAATTTCGAATAGTTGCCAATTGCCATTTGCTATGGTCTTCTTTACGTGTATTTTACTTCGTAGTTTTCCCGAATTGTGCTATTTATGATGGAAGTTAATATTGTAGGAACTAATGAAGATATAAAAAAAGAGTGTGAGACCGTGACAACGATTTGTCGTTGTTGTTTATCGAAAGACAGACTTGGAACGAATGTTATGTTATATAGACCATTATTTTTTGAATTAGCTGGTGTTACAGTAAGTTAATGTTCTGTAATATTATTCCGAGACGTTAAACAAATAAAGTTATTTAGTTGTTATAGTTAACATTTAAAACTTAACGTTGAAACTATTTTTAACTTGTTGACGATCAATCATATGTTTCCTCCTCCCACAATAACCGTTCGCCTTCTATCACTATCACTATCACTACTGTACTTGGGTTTAGTTCGGCGGATTCAACTCGGCTGGGCAACGTTCGGGAAATTACGACTCCCTGAAAACCTGAAAACGAAGCTGTTACAACCAGAGTGTATTGCCAGTGATGATTTATGGAACTGAGACCTTCACTGCTGGCCGTATCTTCAAGTTCAAGGTGGCTCAGCGAGCTATGGAGAGGGTTATGCTCGTGGTTTCCCTGCATGATAAACATAGAAATGAGGATATCCACAGTAGAACCAGAGTGACTGACATAGCCCAACGGATTAGTAAGCTGAAGAGGCAATGGGCCGGCCATATAGTTCAAAGAACAGAACCACTAGTCTAAATTATGCACCAGGAAATACCACTGCTAATTATATGTGTCTCCTTTAAACGAGGTATCATAAAGAGTAAATATGGGTGTTTTAACCTTAAGATTAAAATGTAACAGCACTTTTTAATGTTAGCAATTTGTCAAACAAATGATAGTTAATGCTTCTCTTAATGTAACTTTTACAAGTCAAATTTATTTATAAAATGAAAAAAAAAAAATTATGTGGTTATTATAAGCTGCTTACAAAAAAAAAATTAAGCACCATGAGTTTGTTGTCCATTATAAGCTGTTATTTACATCTTTAATAAAGAGAAATAGACTGCAATGATTGCTTACTAAAACATATACTTATCTAATAAGTACTGTGTTTTGCTCCAAATTAGATATGTGTCATTAATTCATTCCTAGCAACCGAATTATTCAAGTATATTTATTCATTATACCTATGGGTTCATTCAAATGGATCATTTCAGGCTGCACGGTAACATTGCTTTTGCTTTGCAACAGAGGCATCTACTTTATTCTATAAGTAATGTCATTTTATTGAACCAAATTCATTAACTCTTATGGTGGTACATATTCCTCTGACAGATACAAATACAAGTTTTAAAATACACATCTTTTTTAAATGAATATGTGTAGACACCGATATCCTCTCCTGCTGAAAGCATATTCACATATTTTCTCATTTTACAGGTTTCAGAATCAGATGGCCTACCACAATTACTGTGCTGGGAGTGCCTAGCTCTACTAAAGAAGACAGTTCGATTCAAACAGAAGTTGCAAAAGGCTCATAATTTGCTCTACGAATACCTTATTCGGTGTGCTCCGGTATGTTATCTTCGAAGTTTGTTAGCAGCATTAGAGAATTGTCACCCTGTTTTATTTTTTATTTTTTTAAAAACGTTACTCCTACGCTAGGATTTTCTCCTGTATCATGGGGGCAGTTTACAAGCATAAATTGCACAAGGACAGACATCCAGACCCGGAACAATTATTTATAGGTCATACAAATACTTGTTCCATGCGGGATTCGAACCCGCGACCCCCAGCGCAGCCACTCATTGCTCAGCCACTACGCCACGGAGTCGTCGTTTATCCGGTGAGCGTTGAAAGAGGTGAATAGGGGAGGTACCAGAAAGATGTAACAGTCATTAATAAATAGTTTTATTTGTAGAATAAGTAATAAAAAATTTTGTACAACTGACTTTAATATAAATAAAATCAGAACATCATTAATGTATATAGTTGAAGTAATATGAATTATTAAAGATAACTCAAAAATAAATAGATCTTGATCAAATTTGTGTGAGAAGGCATGAGAAGCACCAACTTTGAAATAAAAAAAGAATCAAAATCGGGTCACCTAGAAAAAAGTTCTGAGGTAACACATTATAAAAACAAGGTGAATTGAGTCAGAAAGATGCTGCTGCCCATCCTGTTTCAATTTCCCTCTATCGCCTCTTATGACACCCACGAAATTATATGGGGTAGTGAATATTCTTATACCGCCACTACACGGCATGGCATCTACCATGGCGTATAATAATATTCTCCAGACCAAATTTCGGTCACGGCGAGCAGCCTCAACGGAGACTAGCCAACGGTGCGGGACAAAATTATAGTGCCCTATTGTGTACGCAAGCACAGGTGCACTCTCTATTCCCCCACTCTCATAACCCGATGGGACCGTAAACCGACACGACCGGAGAGAGATCGGACGCAGAACCAACGGCTTTACGTGCTTTCCGAGGCACGGGGGTGAGACACAAAAAAACTCAATACCTAATTGATTTTTTGGCTCGACCCGGGATTCCAACCCAGGACCCCATGATCTGCAGTCACACCACTACACTAGACCAACGAGGCAACCATGGCGTATAATTGCAATATGTATACAGTAGGAAATATTCCACTTTGATGCTTTGCAGAATTCAGAAAAAGCCTATGCTCAAAAGTTACATTGCTACTTTTGTTTTCAAAAGATTCTTTATTTCTAAGTTTTAGCCCGGCAAGGAACTGTATTAGCTCAGTGGTTAGGTGCCTGCTGTTTAAGTTTCACAATACTGAACTTGAGTTTGATTGCCGCCGGCACTAATGTAATTGTTAAATGTGGTTTAGTTGTAGCACGAATGGGTCGGCTTGACCGGGGCAGGACTACGCCCTCACAGAATACCAGCGTAAAATAACAGCATAATGCTGCTGTGTTTCGTATGGTGAGTGTAAAGAACCGAAAACCTTTTTTATTGGAAGCGAGGCATTCCATCTTAGGTGTACGCTCATGCGGGCTGTCAGTTTTACAACAATCACGGCTGTGATTGACGAATAACCTACCGTGTAATGCAGTGATTAACGCCTACATGAGCGCGTAATGTACGCCTATCAGTTACCAAGTTTTTTATCAATCATGATTGATGGCATTAATTGACGCCTGCATGAGCGTGTAATGTACGCCATAAGTCTTGAAGGCTAACATGCATTTGCATTTTGATTCTATTTATATTATTGAGGATAAATGTGGATGTTTATAGCCCACAGCATACACCTACTATCAGATGGGCTGTGTACTCGTTTGTCACCCAATACTATAAAAAAAAACATGCTCCGCGGTGAAGAAATACAGAGTGAAGGAACCTGCATGTCCGATAAATAAAAAAAATATTTCAAAGATGTGAAATCTGACAACATGTATTTGGACAGCATGGTGTACAGTTTACAGTTTTAGTCAAGGTAATGTACACTGTACAGTGTATACTTCCTTGCCCTAAAACCCTTTTAAAATAAAATAGAAAATAATAATTATTATTCAATATAGATTATAGGGTTATTCTTATTGAAAGTAATTTTTTGACTTCTACCACTGATTCGGTAAAAACCACTGGCCAGGGAAGAACGAGCAAGAACTCCAGCGGGATTTTAATTTCAATGTAAAATTTTACAGTAAATTACAGGTTGTACAAACTACTTACAAAACTTTATAAAGTAACAGCTTGGAAGTGATCACCGATTTATAAAGAAGTGATAGCAGGTCTGAGGCCAGGAATAGGATGTCGGACTAACACGAAACTTCTCTTCTTTACAGTTCTCAATAGACGCTCAAGATCCTGAACTGACCAAATATAAGAATCCATACCTCTGTTCCACAGCGACACTGGTGTTTGATACCAGCGGCAGGAGTAGGACTGGCTTTCACAAGGTCCTTGAGGTGAGATTGTACTTATTTTTTATTTCAAGTGGATTAATCACTACACAATAAAATAAAAGAGGTCTCTGCGCGTTGGATACCGAGAATGTTAACCGACGGCTCCGAGGAAATTAGGTAAATTTGCTATTGTGGCCGTGGTTGAGATCTGGATGTACCATTTTGATCCTGAAACCAAACAACAATCAATTATTTGAAAACAAGACTTCACCGACGTTGAAGAAATTCTAAGTGTCAAGTTTGGCGCAAAAGGCTATGGTGTCCGTTTTTTGGGACATTGAAGGAATAATTATGGTAGATATTTGGAAAAGGTAGTCAATATTTCGGGCTCTTACTATGCAGGCCAAGTAAGAAGATTGCGAGTCGCTATCAAGGAAAAATGACACGAAAAACTGTGAGCTGGAGTGCTGTTACACCAAGACAATGCTCCGGCTCACAAAGCCGCAGTTGCGATGGCTGCCATCCAAGAAACAGGATTTAAAGGGCTCCCAGTGACTTCTATCCTCGGCTCAAAAAACACCTTCGAGGCAAAAAATTTGCAGACAATACTGGAGTGATGGAGGCTGTTTAAGATTTTTTTTCTAAGGGAATTCTGGGTTTAAAAAAGGATGGGCTAAATGCATTGGCTTTTTAGGAGACTATGTAGATTTTTTTAAACTGTAATCACTATGTTTAATATTCATTGCCATTACTTTTGGATCACTTCTTGTAGTAGTCATGATCCTAACCTATAACCTGAGTAATTCCTTGTTTTAGCACGAAAAGCAGAAACAAAGCCCAGAAGTGAATAATGTAAGCTTAGTACTACCGATTGAGAATACAGAGGAAAATGTTAAGGAAGAAGCAGGGTTTTCAGATTATGAAGATAATATAACTCTGGAGGAATACAGGTAATTTTTTTAGCATTATAATTCCAAAAAAAAACATGCGTGCAGCTCACACGCGACAGAAGTGAAACCTTCAAATGAAATGAAATATAAAATACAAATACTTTAAATGATTTATTTAATATTATAATTCAAACTACAAGTTCGGCATAAAAGAAAATTTTATCGTAAATAAATGTAACAATCCTTTTAATATATATATTAGACACAGATATTATATTACTCTTTCCGATATACCTTATATAGTACTTACTAATTGCGAAAGATTTATATCAATTTTACCTATTACAAAGTTGAGGTTTGGCCGTTCTTCACTGCTTGTTTAATCCATAGACAAACAATACCTTCGTACTTTGTTGAACAAAACGCGTAAGCGACGCCGTTTCAGCGGCGTTTACTACTTTTTTCTCGCGAGC